GCGCGCCTCCCGCCACCGCCCACCCCGGAGCCCCTCCCCACCGGAAGGGCCCTCAGCGCGGCGCGGGGCTTCTCCACAGAGCGGGGGCCGCACGGCAGCCAGCCCGAGGGCTCCCTTTTTCCCCTGTTCAAAGAAGAGAACATCAAATTCCTGAAACAAAAGGCCAGGCTTCGCCTTTTCTCCTCGTACCTACACGAATGTAAGTTGTAGAAAGCTCTCCGTGGCCTGGGAAGGACTGAAGCCCTACTGCCTGTGTGCCTTCTCGCAGCGGCCATGACACTGGAACGCAGCCGGGTAAGGGGCATGTGACGAAGCCCCGCGATGGATGGCTTTCCAGCCTTTGCCCTTGAATGGCAAGGCATCATTAATGCCAGGCCAATACTGCAATAGGAACTGTACTCTTCAATTTATGCAGTAATAAAAATCCTCTCTGGCCTTGTCCCTGTAGGATTCATCATTCTAAGTCTGGAAACTTCGAACCTGTAACAAGAAAGGGAGGGCAGCCTAAGCCCATTCAAGTCCTACGTTAAGTCCAAGGAATTAAAAAAAACCGAAAGAAATGTCAAAATAAATACCAAAAGCACATGTTCAAGCCAGCCTCAGAAAAAGCACTTTCAGAAGCTATTTCCAGCAGACAAGAACTGACCTTCCCCTTACAAAATGCCACAGGGTATAAATAGAGCAGCCTCTTCAAATACGCAGCTCCAAACTGCCGTGCAATTTGTCATGAACACTTCTCCGTCTGCTTCAAGCACACTCAAACAACAGGGCACTCTTCTCGCTGCACTCGGAGCACTAATTAGCTTGAACTGGAGTCAAAATACCTCAGTTTCTGAAAAATCATAGATCAAAACCAAAGCAGAACCCTATCAGGAACGCAGCCTTCCTGTCTCCCTTCTGACCAAACATTTATTCTGTAAAGATACTCGCCACCTCTCCCCACAGCATCACATTTTCCTAAGTTTTAGAGACGCTGATTATCACGAAGTGCAAATACGAACACGCAAACAGCCACCTCACACAAATACGTGATAATCCCTGATAGACGGCAGACAGGGAGCCATTACAAATGTACACAAACATGTAACGATGCAATCTGAAAGCAAATTTTAGCTTTTCAGCAGGCGATGAACAGAGTTATTGAGCATCTTTCTCTCTGCATTTATCAACCCTTCAGAACACATCTCTTGCCAGGTCTGCATCAGTTGTGTGCAAGACAACTCTGCTGGCACAAAGTAACATCTGGAAAATAAGGTGCATAAAATGCTCAGCTACTGGGGTACATATAATGTACTACATCTAATTTCAAGCTTACACTTCATCAGTCATCAGGCTTCATCTCCCTCGCATGTCTTCTGAACACCTCTGGTTCACAGGCATATGGAAAACAAGATGAGGCCATGCAGTCTTTCCTGCCCTGTTGAAACCAGGGGAAGTGGCCTCACCAGTTTAGAAATTCTGCTCTTTCTGCTCTCCTTTGGCTGACGCAGTGAGAGCTTACGCACACACTTCATTTTAACTACTTGTTTATGCTCAGGCCGATCAGCAGCCACTATGTATTGGTATTGTGCACATGAAGCCCCTGAAGTCACAACAGCCAGAACATCGTATACATTCATTCTTACCAATTTGACTGCTTAACTTGTGGAAAAACATGCCAAAGTTCTGCAGTATGGCCCCAGAGCATCAAATTGCCTCAGGGAGGCAGAATATACTCTGGAACTGGACACGATGTTGGTGTTTTGTGTACTGCATATTAAAAAAGAAATGACCTCAGAGAAGGAAAAAATAATGTCAAGACAGACAAGACAGCTTTGAAACAGACAAGAAATCAACAGACACATTTCGCTTGCAGGCAAAACCTGGCTGCTGTAGTGTAGCTTGGTTTTATTTATGTCCACAAATATTTCAAAAAAATTACAAAATACTCAAATGGAGAGAACACAGAAGTCACGATTTCTGGGTTTCTACTCTGTTTACACTGTGTTATCCCATGGCAAACTACTCATATATACATTAAGCTTCAAGATATATATAAATGTAGCAGTCAGAATGTACACTCTGCTTTAACGGTGCAGTGAAACAAGCTCAACCATGACGACATAGAACAAGAGACGTTTCAAAAACACTAAAGCAAAATTAGAAAATAAACTTCCAAAACAGAGGAAAAATAAGAGAGATTTCTTAAAGAAAATCAAAAGGTCTGGGTTGTTTTAACAGGGCATCGAACACCAAGATGGCTTCAGAAACCACTGCATGTAAAGTTGTAGTTAATCACTGGTCTAATATGGAAGAATTTCAGTGCTTATCTGATGAATGACGTGAACAAAAAAACTCCCACAAATTATCATAATGCTCTTCTGCGAAAAAAGAAAAAAAGAAAATAAGAAAGAAAAAGAGATCAATGAATACCTTATGATCATACTGTGAACTTCAGCGAAAAAAAATATACAGAGAGAAGACCATGGGAGGCAAGTTGCTTTTTCTTTTTTTTTCTTCCCTTAAGAAGAACTATAGCTAATAACAACAGCTAGAGAAGGATCAGAAGAAATGGCTGAAGTGGCTGAACTCCCCCAAACTCCCGAATTCCACGTGGTAAAAACAAGGAGGGGAGGTTTAACTGAAACATGTCTAATTAGACCTTTAAAGTAAACTGAAGCACTCTCTCTGCTGCGCAGACCGATCTTATCAGCTACTCCACTGTTAGCAAAAGTAAAAAATGTTACTTGAAAGAAAACCGTTTCACCTGATCACTGCAGACAGTGAAGGCATTGACTGAAGAAGACTTCACCACCCTCAACTCTAGATCGACCTCATGATTCCCAAACCTCAGAAACACTCTTCCTCCGAATACCTTCACAGAGAGTTCAAACATAGCAGATGGAACCAATTAAACACTATTGCAGTTCTTCAGCGCTGAGAAATCCAGAATGGAGGACAGGAAAAATGGAAGATCAACATCAGCTGCAATAGCCCTCCTCTCTCTCCTATATACACATTTGCCTTCAGTGGACCTAGAATACCCTGCTGTGTATTTTTAATGGCTAAATCCATGTTACTGACTGTCCGACAGTAACTTGCAGGCACTGACCTGTTTTGAGACCCACGAGGTGCATAAAGCACTGTGCACGCCACGCCTTCCATCAGAATGTATGATTAACTACAAGTTTATCAAACTTGGCTCAGTACAGTCCTATGACACAACCGTCACACTGAACAGTCTACAACAGCAGAGAGAGCACTCGTAAGAAGAGAGAGAATGGGGGAATGTTACGCACCACCAGCGGAAAAAATGGCCAGCAGATTCAGATGTCCATTGATTGCATCACCCTCTGCTCTAGCAAAGCAAACCTGTGGCAAAACAGTGAAATTAAAAAATATCTGCCTAGACAGTAAGCAGAGCTGTCTCCAAAATAATGCTCGCTGGCCTTCTGTGTATTCCTCTCCTCTTACCATCCACGTGGGAACTCGCCAACAGGCGTTATTCTGCATGGACCTGTTGTGTTGGGAGTCAGTAAATGTTACTGTCCATATATCTGGTTAATCCCAAAGCAGCAAGTTCCTGAGATACAGAACACTGGTGGCATTAAAAAGTCCTGGATTACAAAAACTAAAACAGTCAAAGAGAAATACAGACTGGTTTTTGCAAACCAACTTTAAGAACACTGAGTTGCCTACGCACTTTTCTTAAGAACATATCAAACGTAAGAGGCCAGAAAGAGTACGTCCTCCAAAAATATGCACGTGCATACAAAATTCTGGCTGTACTCGTTCGAGCCACGGAACATTTTTAATAAGAGATTTTAGAACAGATTATTTCTTTGAACCTTTGCCTAAAGTCTAAAACCAACGTAGTTAGATTAAGTTTCAAAAGGTAATAGGAAAGAAGTGTATTATGGCCACACTGAAAATTAACCCTTGAATTAGGCATCAAAAGGGTAAGCTAGTTCCAAGGGACACCTGTACTGCTGAGAAACCCAAATCAACAGAAATCATCTGCAGAACAGAGAGATGTAACACTAACAAAAAAACCCAACAAACCCAAACAAACCAAAAAAACAAGAACAGAAACAGTCATTTGCAACATAATCCCTGCAACTCCCTTTAATGCTTATTGTTGATATCAAACCAAATTTCAAGCTTTTACCCATTTGAAATTATCGATACCCATTATTCCCTTTAATTAAAGGGAAAATTATATATATATAATTTTATTAAAAAATCAACTCTGTATTCTGTCAATACCAGGTAGGAATTCACAATTTGTGATGTTACTGAAAATCAAGATAAACGTTTCTGGAGTTTTGTTTTGTTTTGTTTCTCCCCTCTACCCAAAAAAGTTATTTACAGACTTAAAAAGCCATGCTGCAGAACTGAGCTCTCTTTAAAATTATGAAGATTTCCTACAATGTATTAAAATAAAAGTAGATTTTTATTATTATAGCACTTGGATTCAGAGCTTGTTATGTCACCTACTTGCAATCCTTGTTTTTTTTAAAATAGCTATAGATGCATCGAGTGTCTCTTCACGCACAGTGACTCGTGTTGTGAACCTGATTCTAGCACCTACTCAAAACAAACTAGTAAGAAAAAAAAAAAAAAAACCAAGATTGCAGGAAGTTCTCTGAATATTCCACACAGTCCTGTATTTTCAATAGGCTTCTGAATACGTTGTCATGCAGGGAGACCCACACCAGTCTTGAGAAATCTTCTCTACAAATGAACACTATGCTGATAAGTCTCTACTTGTTGGGTGGTTGTTTCTGTTTTAAATATATAAAGAAATCTTTATAAGATATTCTTTTCCTTTTGTAGCTCTTATTGTATGTAAAAATGTTCCACTCCTTCCCAAGGACTGGGGTTTCCATAGCCAGCATTACAAATAAATAATTTATTACAACTGTTTGTCGCCTTCTTTCTTCAGTCGACTGAAAGAGAAAGAAAACTCATTTTAACAAAATGAAGGAGGTGTCACGACACTTCAGAGACAGCTTTGCCTTCCTGCTAACCTCACCCAGCTGCCCTGGAGGGAACAGAGGCTGCAACAGCACTTGCGAGCTTTCAGCACGAAACCGAGAGCCATTGTAACACCAGCGATAACGCCGTCTGCTGTGGGAAGAAGCGATGACCTTTTGCTACTCAAGCGCTCCTTACACGTGAGCAAGATCACCAGCGCCAGCTCATCACGCTTCAGCTTTATCTGCAGCTGCAGATACGACAGCCAGCTTCAGGCAGACTGGCTGTCCCCACGGCACAAGGCCAGCAGGCCATTTTGGACACCAGAAGCAAGGACGGAAACAGCAGGGTATTTAATACGCTGCTTCCTGTACATCCTTGCTACCCATGGACATGCGGAATGGCCCTTGCTAGGTGCTGGTGGCTTTTTCTTCTCAGCTGTCGTAGTGCCAGTGGTCACTGCCAAACAGGACATCAGGCGGTGTCACGGAAGGTAGGCCAAGAAGAGAACCACTCTGCTAGCAACACCATGCAGCATTCTGGGCAGAAACACCTCACATGATTCATACAGGCATTCTCAGCTGGTAGTGCAGGATCTGCATTATTCACACACTGCAACTTCCTATTACCCTTACTCATTTCTTACCATTCACTGAATTCCACCCCTCTTCTCTTCTACCCACCCTCCAACACTGTTCTCAAAGAACAGAAATGTGGAAGCAGCAATCATAGCAAGTGTCACACTAAAAACCCCAATCAGACTTAATTCTGCAGTGTGAGACTCAACTAGTCTACACCTTGTGCCAACAGTTTGGACCAAGCTTCCAATTTGCCCCATCACCTATGCCCAAATTAGGTCTTCATACAGCTTCCCCATCTTCCGTAACTGCATCAGGACAGTAACTCAGCACACAGTAAGACAGGCAGTAATTCAGAAGAAAAAAGATGGAATATGGAGAAAGATGAAGGAAGCTGTAGCACCCCCGAGTCTCCAAAAGCCTTCATCGCACCTCTCACCTGTAATAATCTTCCTGACTTGGTAGATGACCACCATGCATGTGAGGATGCCCATGCAACCACTGCTGCTCCATTGCCAGTCTTTGCAGCTCTGCTGACTGGGCGTGCATGGCCTGCAGTTGGTGGGCTGCTGACATAGGAGGTGGAATGGCACCAGGAAGATCTCGTGGATAAGGAGTACCTAAGAGAGAGTTGCCCATTTTTAGACACTCGTTTGCTATGAAGGCTGCAGAGAGTTGTCACACGAAGCTCTTCTTTTTTTAAAAAAAAATCCCAACCAACCAACTTTTGGCTGTAACTTAAGTTACAGCTCAACTCCACCAACTCCCCTCCCAAGAAATGCCATGGCCCAGAGGGTGACAGTTCAGCTCAAGAGACCCTTCGTAGAGGACCTTAAAATGCTCTCACCAAAGACTGGATGTCGGAGCATTTCATGCTCATGAGGTGGCTGCCCTAGCAATGGGTTGGGGATGGTCCCAGGTGGGTAGGAAAAACGTGCCAAATGGGGTCCAGCTGCTAATGGATCCACCAGCGGGTGAACAGGTCCTGCTGAAAAAAAGAAGGAAAGACAGACAGAAAGCAATCAACTGCTTTGGGAAGCATCGCTCGCTGTTGGGAGATCAAAAGCCCTGCTAGACATCAGCTGGATCAGCATTTGGCCTAACTGGCACATAATTACCAGGAGCTCAGCTCCATCCAATTTGAAACCCACTATTCTATCTTCAAGTGACATCTGCTTACCAAACAGTCTTAACTGTTAAAGCAACAACTCAGCGCTTTCGATTTCTACAAGAAAAAGAAATCCACCAAGCGGTAGAAAAAACAAAAATCCAGTAACTAAACCCCCTAAGCTGTCATTTTCAGACTTTCCTTCCACATTCACCCCCACACATCGCAGCAGCGCTTGCAAACCAGACCTGCGCAGCCTAACACAGACAAATTGAGACGTTGCTGTGGAATCTGTTCAATAACCGGAGACTTCAAAAAAATCCTGCTGCACAGGTCTGTTCTTACCTTTACTCAGCCTTGCAAGATCCCTCCCCTGCATGGATTTTTTTTTAATTGCTTATCATAATTACATTTTTTTACCATGTGTTCAGAGTGCAAACACCTTGTCAAACACCTCAAGTGGACTCTGAAAAAAGCAATTACCTCCCAGCCACTTGATCCCACCCCCACCTACCACTGCCTGTCGGTACGCCTGCCCAATGGACTGGCCTGGGGAGCAGGCCACTGTTATCCCAACAAACAGAAAGGACACAGAGATAAAAACCCAGCCAAAACCATAAGCAGCTGGACAAATCCACATCAGCTTTATTTCCAACTCTCCAGTGCTGCTATATGTCAGGCCACCTCTTAATCCATGGATGCCTGGGACAAATATTACTACTCTCTGCTCTCCTAGGAATCTCCTGTTCTTGGCTTTTACCAGTTACCTCAAACATATTGCTACAAACCAAACCATTTCAGTCGATTTTTCTGGAGATTCCTTGGAAATAAACAATCCCATTTCTGTCTATCAGTCCAAGTGACCCGAATTACAGACCTGCTCCCACAGATAACCTGAGGAAGGAATATGCTCAACTCTGATCACTGGAAAAAAACAAAAACCATCAGAGAGAACTGCGGAATGTTTTATTGCAGCGCTGTTACAGGGAAACAATGTGTTTTGCTTTAACTATTAATCTCTGACACCTGGCCGCTCTTACGAAGAGAATTTCCATCTCTTCACAACAAAGATGGTCAACATTTAGAAAAATTTTCCCCAAAACTCTCTCCTATTCCCCTTTACACACATAAAATGGAAGGATCACTATGGACATTTAGTACAGAAGCACTTCAGCATGCTTCTGCCTTTACCAATACTATTTGATAGGCCAAAATCTGGCAAAAACCTTTGTTTGCAAAAATGACATTGTCACCACCCTTGTGCAGAGGGACACCTGCAGACAACCTCTCTAATGTCACTCTACCAGTACAACGAGAAAAAGACACCGGCAAAACCACCTGAAAAATACTCATCTGAAACCTCAGCATGTTCAGCTGTCAGCAGATTGCAGAGGAACCGCAAACGGAAGGACTACAACCCAGGTACCACAACTGTCCCTCAGCTGTTACCTGCTCCAGAGCACAAATGTGTTGTCACTTTACGCAACCTCCACCCCCACTCCAAGGAGACATACAGGTTACACACTTTAGGGCCTTACCCACCTATGGAGCTACTCTGGACCAAGAACTACTGGGAGACACTCAAGAGCCCCCAGCTGTATTTTAACCCGGCATCCAAGATTAACACCAAATTACTTTTCAAATACAGGTAAGAGAGACTCCACACCGAACTGACTTAGCTTTGTCTGCACCAGTCTCTCGCTAGACTGAGAGGGAGAATGTAGTAGCCAGCTTTTTGTCCAGAACAAGTAACTGGGGAGTATCTAGACTCACCTGCACAGCGGTGGTGACTTACCTGACAGCACAAATACTTGTGTAGACACGATCAATGACAAATTTTTTCTGCTATCAATGGGGTATGCAGACCTACCCCAAACTGAACCAGTCTGTAACTTCTGCAGTCAGTCTCGACCAAAGCCCGCAGCTGACAGCTTTAAGAACACTGATATTTGGCACCATCATCTCCTACCTGTAACCAGCCGTCCCGTAACAGTCTGCTGATTGTTAGACCCTGCTGATTTCCTCGCTATACAATCTGGCTTCTGCAACAGCACCCAAATTCCTTCCAAACTCCAAAAAGCAGACATCCCAGCTACATATAATGCATATTGCTCCAAGGCAAAGTATGCTATATTTGCTTGCACGAACACCACATTTGTAGCCAGCCGCACCAGAAGTTGCACTTTAAGTACTTGGACTACTTTTTTTTTTTTCCTACATAGCAGCTACTGCACCTGGTGCCTTGCTTGGCTATGTTCTCTCCAGTCTGCCACCAGAAAATCAGAAAAATTCTGCTTAGTGCCTCATCTTCCTGACTCCAGACTTCCATCAGAGTAACCATGTAGCTTGCTTTAGAAATGAGCAAGGCATCAATTAATTTTTGAGACTATTAAATACTTTGGGGAAAAAAACGTTTCCCCACGTAAGAGAACACCGTAGCTGAAAAGATGGCAACCTATAAATTTAGATGGTTCTTATGAGAATTGTGACAGAGAATTTCAGTTCAACTAAAGCCAGATGGTTGGCATGTCAAATGGCTGAAGAGATGAAGTCTAATTTCTTTTTTCAGCTCCGATATGGAAACACCAGCTTCAGCTGCTTTCCAACTATAACTCATAATGTAACAGCCATTAGCAGTGTTCCCAGTTCCATGACATCTCTCCTAGTGAGTTCCCATCACCAGTGGGGTCTCCACTTGTACACCAGACACCACTGTGAAGTGGTGCTCTAGGACTCCAGTACTTTAAAAAAAAACCTCCAACCCAACAGAACAGCAAGCCTTCTCCAGTGACAGTGCTCAGTCTCGATGAAGATCACTGTACTGTTACCATCATTTACTTTATCACTGTTATTGGTCCACCCTCCCCAAAAATAATTGTCTGCATTTCAGTTACCACAACCTTACACAGTACAGAAGTCACATCATCTACAAGACAGGGATTTTGCTACTCCAATTCCAGAGCCAACGTCTGCCTGTTTCGGGTAGGCTACTGCTACCAGCTCATGAGAGAGGTTCCCTCGTTCGCTGCCCAGCCCGTTTCCCCGGGCTCACCTTGATGCAAGGGATCCTGCTGATGCAGGTGTAAATGTGAGTGTATGTGTGAATGTTGGTGGTGGTGAGGCGTAACGTTGAACATCTGGAGCCGTGCCAACGGGTCGTTTGTCAGCGATGCCATCCGCTCGGCGTGTATTCGCTCTGCTGCCTGCCTGTCAGGGTAGCTCATTTCAGGCCGTAGCTGTGGGCCTGCCAGGGCAAGTCTCTCTCTTTCAAGGGGGTTCAAACCCGGATGGAAGGAAGCGAATGGGTGAGGTCCTGCTGTTGGGGGAATAGTCAGTGCACCGTGCCTGGCAAAATGCTCCATGGGGTTAGTAGCTGGGTGCAGCGCATCCAGCTCTGGGGGCTTCACCTCAAAGCCAGGTTTCATCCTCTCTCTCAACTCCCTTTCCCGGATTTCTCGCTCCCGGATTTCCCGCTCTCGGAGCTCTCGTTCCCGAATGGTGGGATCCACATTGTAGAGGCCAGGCATATGGTAGGCCAGAAGTGGATCGGTGGGGTTGAGGGGGACAAAGAAGGGATGATTACGGTTTGTTGGCGACATGACATGAGGACGGGCATATTCACTTAGTGTTCGTAAAGCAGGTGTGTCTGGACCAATGTAAGGTGGTACAGCAGCGATGGTCGTTGGTGGAGGTTCAAATGAAGGTCTCATGTGTGCTGGCCCACTGAGCTGAGACTCTCCAAGACGGCCTTCATGGGAGGAGCTGGATACCTTCTGCTGCACAGAATGGGGGAAGAGAAGTTTAGTTCAACACATTTGGCTTAAAAACACAGCAGGCACACACCTCCCTTCTCGTGCTTCGAGCTCTAAGAGCAGGCAAACTCAGCCCGCTGAGCCTCACGACTCCTGCAGTTGTGTGCTCCAGTGTGGTTTGGGGAAGAACTGGATTCTGTCTGTCCTGTAAGCCAGAAGAGAACTACACTGTAGTGGCAGCCTCAAAGCTACACTAACTGCTTTGCAGTTAGCAGAGCAGCAACTAGCTGGTACAAGTCACAGCTATGGGCAACAGCTGGCTGGTGCACGTCACTGCAGACTATCAGTCGTGTTTGCAGCGTGTTCTTCCTCTCCTCTCCACACTCACCTGTATCCTAAAACTTACTAAATCCAAGGGAACTCGACTACGCGATGTGCATCACAACATATTCTACTCCTTTCACATCAGGACTTTGCATCCCACTCTGCCTTTCTGTACAAGAGCAGAATAGCACTTCTGGGGAGGGCAATCAGCAGTTTACCCATGCAATTGCCCAAATATCCCTACAAGACGACTGCAGCACCTTCTTTTTCAGCATCAATAATGTATTACCAACCTACCAAATCTGTGGGCCCAGAAGTAATCATTCTTCTCTGACAGGCCAAAGAAAAATGGTTTAGTTGTATTGGCTCTTTACACCAAGACCGGAGTCTGGGTCTCCACATAAAAAAAAAGTTAAGTGCCTTTAATTTAAGTTTACCTCAAATTTAAAAGGCCTTCAGATCCCCTTTTTCCAGAAGACAGTACTCTTGTGCCTGCACAGCAGTACAAGCTACACAAAGGCTTTCACTGTATCTGCACAGAGTACTTTTCTACTCCAAGTTAATGTAAATACTCGGTCTAGTTATCCCCAGCTGCATTGGCTTCCTGCACATCGGAAACAGACCAGGAGTAGAAACTCTCCGTTTCCGTCAAAGAGAAGGAGGTCACAGGCAGGCCAGGAGGTGCTCAGAGCGGTTGGCTTCCATTTCATGCACGAGGCTTCCATACTCACAAACACCCGACTGCGCATGTGTTGAAGCGATTCTGGGGATTTGCATTCTGCAGTCACCACCCAGGTCGGATCCCACCACGCCAACTCCCTTAAACAGCTCTTAGCTGGAAATAAACCTACCGCAGCTCTTTCTGCTTCTCTTTCACGCTCCCGCTCCCTCTCTCTTTCCTTCTCTTTTTCTTTTTCTCTCTCTCTCTCTTCTCTGGCTTTCTGCTCTGCTTCCCTTTTGGCCTTTTCAATGGCCTCTTCTCTCTTCTTGGCCAGTTTCGATCCTGCCAGAGGCATAAAGTACAAGTCTGCTCTTGAGCACGAATTGTAGCCACGGTCCAGGTGCTTATAAAACCTGAAAGAAACAGAACAGAAAGAGCTTAGCCCTGGGAAAGATGCACGAGCCTAGGATTTAACCTCTGTATGTTACCCCCGTGCAAAACCTATCACTTTACACTTAATACAATAGCACTACCAGCTTCCCTGGAAGCCATGAGAAAATTAATTATACTCCACAGACAAGTGGAGTATAAAACACCCTCTTCACAATTACAAACTGTAATGTTGTCTCTGGATATGCTGGCTGAAACAGCACCATTCCAGAAAACCAGACCAAAAGCACACTCGCAGGAGAGGCTGACAAGGTGCACATGCCAAATACACTCAGCTCCCGCAGGAGCTCATTTCTCAGTTCTTGGAAGTACCCTGTGACACAGAAAACTAGAGCCCATTAAGGAAGCACCACTGATCACCTCCATACCTGGCTGATTGACTAGCATGACTTGGTGTGTCCACCACAGTAGGTTCTGGCGATGGACTTCTGGGTGGAGGGGGAGGGCTTTCTGGTTCCTCAGCTTCATCTGGGACTTCTTCTTTGATTTGGATAGGTGGTAGCGTGCAGGCTGTCACCACTGGCACATTTCCACTAGAAGCTGCTGATGTGGAGACGGAAGTCTGCAGTGGGATGCCAGGCACAGTGGGTGGCGTGGAAGTGGAGGGGCAAGACGGAGGGGTGATGGAAGGCGGGCCTCCTGGGACAAAGGGATGCTGAGAAAAGGGGGGCTGGGAGGATACCTGATGGAGACCCGACTGGGGGTGATTAGCGGGTGGGGGAAGGCTCTGACTCTGCGTCAGTACAGGAGGCTGGGCTTGCGAAGACTGCAGCGGTTGGCTTTGAGGCATCAGCTGCAAAGGAGGAGGGTGCGCAGATGGCGGATGATGAGTTGAGAGGGAACTCAGAGGTTTTAAAGCAGGTGGTGGAGGCAAGTTGGAGTTCATGGAGAATGGAGAAGGGCCAGAGAGATGAGGAGGGTGCTTGTGGGATGGAGCAGTGGGGAGCTGAGGGATTGGGGTAGTAGGGGGAGGTTTGATATGAGGCATGGCCATGGGTGCAGGGGGCAAGGGCTGCTCCCGTGGAGGCTGAGCCTGCTGCAGCGAGGTTGCAGTCGGCAGGACAGGCTGCGTTACCTGAACCTGGAGAGCGGAGTGAGAATGAGACGGTGCTTGTGTCTGAAGGGGAACCTGAGACTGAGATGACTGAGTGGGGAGGGAAAATGGCTGGGAAGGGACAGGATGAGGCAGAAGGGGCTGAGCCTGCAGGCTGTGAGCGCCCGACGGGGCCTGGCCATGGAGCGGAGGCTGCGGGTGAGGCTGGGCGGAAGCAGCAGCCGGCTGGCTCTGCGACACGCTCCAAGGCTGCCG